ACCGTCAAGCTTAAACCAATCAAGTCTGTAAGTCTTGATAATTATTCACAAAAGGACGGCCAATCCTCAATCAAGTGTGCTCCATTAAAACTCAACACGCAAACTGTAAGCAAAGACGTTCACGACAGGAAAAAGTCTGGTGAAAGATCGTCGCTAGGCGACCATGACAATGCCTCCCCTGGGGACCCTGTTGGTGTAAAGGACGTGGCAAATGTGGTTGTCAAGTACTTGTCTCCCTACCTCAAACAGGGTTCTATTGTTTCCAAGGTAACCGACACGACTCAAACACTTAATTGCGTCTGTGGGTTTAGTGTAGACAACCGTGAGAGGATTGGGGTGAGGTTGGAAGAACTCAAGCTCGTCTGAGTTATCTTGCGAACACGTTTCTCCCGGCTCGGCTGTTTAGAGCTGATATGTACGAGTTCTTAGAACACTCTAAGTAGAATATTCCCACTCATTAGACAAGCCTGCTTGTTTTCTAGAATTTACGTTCTGTAAGTCCACAGTTGTTTATCTGTGCGTTTGAATGCTTTTCCTTGCCTAACTATGTGGCAAACTTTCCGCCTTTTGTATTTATTCAGATTTTCTCTTATCACAAAGGATTCAGCTAAATGACCTTTTAAATCGACCTGATCAGTAACAGTTACTACAGCGCGGTAACTTTAACTCTGTTATGACTTGTTATGCTTTCTATTATAACAGGACTTGTTTAAGTTTTTAGCTCGCTGCATCACGCACAGAGTCATGGGAACTGGAAAAGCGTCATCGCCCTCCTCAAGTGAGTGATTATCAACTTGCAAATTCTCCTCACTGATAATTCATGTTTAAGTCCAACTGAGACAATATGATCCAACTTTCAAGGCGCGAAGTTCGACTCCAGACGACCAAAACCTGCTCCTGTTTTCTCGTTGCTTAATGCATGTTTAAGAAATCAAAATTATGAAGTTCTGACTAGAGAGAAGGAATAATAAAACAACTGTGATCTTGAAAACTGTACAATGTATTTAAATTAGATGTGGTACCTAGTACGTCTTGGTCGTTTCGCAAAAACAAATATTCTTAGCTTCCTAAGCTTTCCGTAAAGAGAGAAATCGTATGTGTTGTATTGAACCCCGGCTATACGATCGAACGTTCGGTTCAACATAGTATTAGAAGGAAATGTTTGATCATTTTAGCCTGGAATTTATTCCATACATGCTTTCTTGATGTTCCCTGTGAATCAAGAACCAATTTAGTACAGGCCTAATTAAAATTCTGGGGAGCCCACTGAAATACATGTTACAATTAAAGACCACGTGCGATATTTGGAAACCAATGAAAATCCGTTTGTCAATCGCGAGTTTAGCAAATGGTTTCCTAGGTTTTGATTTGCTAGAATATATAGTGAAAGTTTCTTCTATGGCATGCTTCTTTCGTTTTAGGAAAAGTGGAAGTTAAAGCGACGGTTAAGAAGCTCTTTGAAGTGTGCAGGAAATTTGAGCAGGAGACTGACTGGGATAAATATATCAGAGCTGTTGAATCAGGAAAAACAAAGTGATCAAGAATCTACATTCGTTTATTTATTACTGCATAAGTTAAAAGAAGATTTGATATATATCAGAATACGAATCAG